GTAGTATACAACAAAATAGACACAAATACATTCACAATCGGTTTTTACATGCACAGCATCAGATAAGGGGACTTGCTCGGGTAACAGGCGATACATTTAAAGCAAGAATTAGAAGATTGATGACAATCCTGTTACAAAACATCCTCTCTTCCTCAGAAGATGGTTATCACTTTTGAGTTGCACCACTGAGCTGATGAGCGTGAGGATGGCCTCAATGCCACTCTGTTTCAATTTCATGCTACATCATTTTCTTATCCCGCTCATTTCAAGCTATAACGCATAGTTACATGCAATAACTCCTACATAGTACTCGAGCTTAGTAATAATCTAAGACCCAAAAGATACTTGCCGAGACATACTCCAGTGACCAGAGCAGTGGCGGTGAGAGCTCCAGCAGATGCACCGTATATGTGCCGGGCGTTCTGGACCAGAAAGGGAGCCTGCTCCTGCAGGCAGCTAGCCACGCCAATGTGGTAGATACCAAGGAAGCCGCAGCCGGCGAAAGAGATGTTCCACGGGGAGTCCAGTGGAAACATCCTGCCAGGGCGGTCCACAGCTGTGGACTCCAGTGGGGCTAAGGTCGCTGGAACACGATACGACAGAGTTTACGCAGATACCAACTTATAAAAACTTGCTAACAGTCTGCTTCTAGAGCCTGTTCATAACTTAATGTCGGTCTCCTGTTTTGGTTAAGCCTAAGTCAGATTTTCCGTTGCAGGTAGCGCCGAAACAGTCAGACTGTTTAAAAATGCCTTCACGGTAAAAAGTAAGAAAGCTGTAATTACAAGCAGCCCTGGACTGGTTAATATACCGACGCAGTAGACCACGGGGACTTGTTGTGATTTCATGAAGTACTGGCGTGAGGAGGGCGTAGAGCGAACCCGGCTGGCCAATCATCAACGACACCGCAAATTCTAGTTCACCAATCACAATCGAGAAAGATACTAAAGCGACCAATCACACTCTGCGTCGTTGAAACACCCGGAAAGTCACAGAGCGGTCACACGCGTCTTCTCTGACAGCTGTCAAAAGTTCGTCCCCAGACGGAGCAAGGCGTTTTGTTTTGTCCTTTCTATATTTGTCTATCTGTTTATGTTTTTTCGTTGTCAGGAAAACATGTCCTGACAACTATGAGGATTTTCTTCAACGATTGGTGTTATCGCTCGGAAGGTGTATTGATTTCCTGTTATGCAATATTGGCAAAATAAACCAGATT